TAAAAAAAAAAATTTTGAATTTACTTACTTGTAGCCGGAGTTAGAGGCGGTCGGATACTTATGACCGCTACTGTAAGAAATAACAGAATTATCAGAATCGTTAACACCGATATATTAGTACGAGTTACGAATCTACCAGCTCAGCCAAAAACTGATAACCTCTTTTTTAATCAACTATTCGGAGGATCATCATTTAATTAACGAAAAACTGACAAACAAAATCAAAAATCTTTCTCAATAAAAAGTTCAAACTTACACATGGCTTAAAAACTATAATAGACGAAAAAGATTCTTTAAATATAGGTTCCATTCTTAGAAACTTTTTAGTATCGAGTGTCAAGCATAATTATTATACTTAGATACGTTACGTTAATCGAATATAAAAAATTTAAAAAATTATATACTTGTTAGTTTTTGAAGAAACATTCAATGTATTGAAATTGAATTTTTGTATATCCAAAATAAAAGCTGAATATGTCAAATTTTATTTTATCTCTATACAATGAAAAAAATATTAAAAGATTGATATAACAGAACTATTCAACGATTTATGGACAATTTAATCTTCGAATTTTTGCAATTTAGGTGACCTCCTATTTGAACAACCATCTCTCCCTGAACTCTAATTTGAAACGACGAACCCTTCTCGATCGGATAAGATTTTCTTTTGACAAAAAAGGTCAATTTTAAAAATTAATAAAACCAAATGTGAATATTTTAGTTTTTTTTTCCGTAAATTTTAAATTTTTAATGCGGAAATGTAATGATTCCAAAGTCACTTATTCTTTAATCTCACATTGAATTCAACAAGATATCGACCAACTAAAGAAGCAATATATGGATTCAACCTTAGAGTAGAACGACATTATCCGATTACGGGGCAAGAATCATTTTAGTCTTAAGTTTGATTTTGACTTCGATGGGATTTTTTAATATAGTTTCAACGATACCTTCGAACCTAGGGGATAATACTGCTCAACAACTAGAGACTACAAATCCTTAACTATCAAAAACCAATTTGAAATGTAAATTAGCCTAGGCCGACACTATGAAATTGACTTTAATTCTGACCGATAACCTTGAACTGGACTGGTTGAGTATTTTAACCGTTACAACCTCTAAAATAGGCCTGCCATTTCTCAATGACAAAAGCTCCAACTTTATTGCTTTTGACGCTTTACGACAAAAAAGTGCAATTTAAATTTTTTTAAAAGAATTACAAACATATTTTATTATGAACTTCCTTATCAGGACTGGAGATTTGCATGATGCAACTAAAACAATTGTTCAACTTTAATATTAAGTTAAACAACTATTTATTATTTGTACTCAATACTATCAATTGCGCACTTTTGTTTTGGAATCTTGTACAACAAAAAATAAGGTACAAATTGTTTGGGCACTTTTTGCTCGACATAAATAATCCGACGACCAAGCAAAATGCTGTGTAACATGGTTTAGCTTCAAAGCATTGCATTTCGTAACAAATTTTAATGCATCAAAATTTTGTTTCGTCTCCAAGGGGAATATAATTTTGGGACTGGGGCAGAGTGTACAAGTGTACATTTATGAAATCTGATAACATCATTTACAAACTTATATCACAATATCCACTTAATTTTTGCGGGTAAAAAGCCTAATTCAATTTTGGCAAAAGTCGAAAATTTTTCGAAATAATTTTTCGGTATCGACAGTTTTCGACGATTTCGACAATTTCGACAATTTCGATGTTTTCGAAAATTTCAATTTATCTACAATTTTGCAAAATTTAACAACGGGTTGAACTCGGGAGATTGTTCCGGACCTAAACTGAAGATTCGGACATAATGAATAAATTTTTCCAAAGATGTACCCAAAGTGAAATTGAAATCTTTCAAAGGTTTTGATTGGTTTATTACGTCGCCTCGAAATATTTACCAACCGTCCAAACTCTTGCCATTCACCGAAACTTTTCGGTTTTGCCTTTAAAAAAATTTTTAGGGTTTTAGCCCAATTCAAAAATGTACACGTGACGATCACCCTGTAAATAAAAAATGTGTCGCCAATATACTTTTTCGTGTGTAAATTAAAAAGAATAATCGCTTGTTGTGACGTTACACTTTACCATACTTTTAATAAATATTATATAAAATTTATTTCGATTATAGGGAATTATGAATTTCATTATGGGAAATTGCAATGTAAGTGTCTTTTTATTTGCATATTTTATACCGACCATAATGGTTTCAATTTTTCCAAATATGCCATATTTATTATTCAACTTTGCCATTATTCTAGTTTGTTAGTTCAAATAAAATGGACCAATTTAGGTAATACATCGATGTTTAATAAATTTTACTTCTTTTGGATTTTAATTTTGTTAAGTGACGACGCCAAAGATTTGTTGCATTTGAATCACTCACTTATCTTGCGGTGTCATGTTTTATGACTCAAGCTTTGAAAAAAAAATAATAACCAATATATATATTAACTGTTCAAACACCCTTCTCGATTAGTTTTTTGATTCTAAAAATCCCAATCATGCAGTAACTTTGCATAAAAACATACAACTGACTCGTAAAAAATGAAAAAAAAAATGTATCAATCTACCACACACATTAGGCCATGCAACTTCGATTTTTCGGTTCACGTCACCCGGCCGGGTCACTTTTTCAAATTTTAACAAAAAAAAGTTTATATATAAAAGTTTATCACGTGTAATTTTATTGGTAGATTAAAGATTATTGTATTATCGTTATGTATAATTCCTTTCTTACAACTCATTAGTTAGTTTCATGCAGCTTCCCAAGTGAATACATTGTGAAATTTTCCAACTAATGTTTTTGATGGGCTAAACTTCATTTCAAAATCTGCTTCCCACCAGTCAGATAATAAATATAGAATCGATATATTTCCAAAAAATCTTTTATTTTTCAACAGGTAAACCTTCCCAATCCTTCAAAACTTTAGAATTGTAACTTATTTTACATGTATAATAGGCATTTTGACGAAGTTAAGATGATTTTGAAATGTATTGTAATTAGTCTTATGATTAGGCCGGGCAAGAAAATTTTTAGATAAATTTTAAATTTGACATGGTCATCCCGGGGGTTTTTTTCTTTTCATATCACAAATAAAGATAAATCTATGTAAATCCGTTTTCTTTTAAACAAATGCCGATTTTATTATGTAAGATCACATGATAAAAATTTTACTATAAAACAAAAATCCTGAATTTCCGTAAACTGACACGGCCGGGTCACAATCTGAAAATTTACTTTGTATGCCTTGTCTCCTTAAAGATTGACCAATCAGATGGCATAATATTTATATAAACTTTTTTTATTAATAAAAATTTTTCATTAATAAACGGGTCGATTTTTAAATTTCAATGTTACGTGAACCGAAAAATCGAAGTTGCTTGGCCTTATTCATCAGTAATTAGAAAAGGGGAAATAAATGAGTTAATGCTAAATCTGAATTATTATGGCCTAAAAAAAATTGATAGTAAATTTACTGGATAATTTAATTTGGTTAAAGTCAATATATAACCAAATTTACCAAATTTATTTAAGTAAATTCAAAAAAATTTTGTATAAATAATATAGAATCAAGGTTTAAAGCTCGGCGCAACTGAATAAATACTATTCGTACAAAGTACCACGATCTACATTCTTTACAATGTTGGAAGAACTTTATCATGTTAAGGTGTTGGCGTTTCAAGTTTGTAAGACTTCTCTACATCTGACGAGGTCTTTGACTTTAGAAGCAGTTGCAGTCTTTGAAGTAGGATTTTTGGAAGTCGATATTTTGACGTTGAAAATATTGGCTGGGTGATGATCATTTTTATATTTATAGAAGGGAAGAGAATTTTACTAGAAGGAATAAAATTAATTATTTTTAACCTTTGGTGATCCAAAAAAAAAAAAAATTTGAATTGTTACTAGAATCTTATACTGGTAATTTTATAAATCGGTAATAATTTTTCATTTTTAGCCACTAATTTTCCTTCCATTTTTTTTTTTTTTGATCAGCAATGAAAGATGCTTCAAAGTACTGTTACAGTAGCGGTCATAAGTATCTGACCGCCTGAGATCGTCCAAAATTATTATATAACTACTCTTAAATTTTCTAGAAATATAATGTAACACAATACAGGAAGGATCATCTGTAAATTTATAAGTGTCAATAATACAAAAAAAAATTTAGAACTTTCACTTGAAAAATGGAACTTTCTTTAGAGAAATGATATGAAATTGTCTTTTTACGTAAGCACCCAGCTGGTTCAAAGTTTAGTTTTAGATTTATTACTAAACAGGTACATTGTAGTAAGTCTACAGCTATTTATTGGATTAAAAGATATCATGAAAATCAGGACCTAAATACTTTAGAAAGACTGGGATAACCTTGTGTAATATTTATGAAACAAGATGATAAGATTGTAAAGATAGCAGAGAAAGAACATAATATAACAGCCATTCAAATACAAGAAAAAATGGAAGAAGGAGGTGTTAGACTTAGTGTAGAAACAGTAAGGTAACGTTTTCATAAGTCTGGAGGAAAGTTTAGTAATAAAATTTTTAAACATTTACTTAAAGAAGACCATCAAAAGAAAAGGTTACAATGGGCAAAGAAACATAAGAATTTTGATTGAAATCGAGTTGTTTTTACAGATGAGAGTATATTTCAATTATATACATCAAAAAAAAGGTTTGGCAGTTTCCTGGTAGAAAAAAAATGTTTCGCTTTATTAAGCATTCACCAAAAGTTCATGCTTAGGAATGTTTTTCTGCTTCTGAATTTAGTAAGCTATTTTGCTTTCAGAGAAACCTTAATGCTGAATTTATGTGTACTATTTATGAGCAAGATCTTTTGGCTTCCACCTTTAAACTTTTTGGTGAAGGTAACATAGATTGAATCTTATAAGAAGATAATGATCTAAAGCATCAATCAAAAATCATGAAAAAATGGAAAGAAGAAAATGACATTGAGGTACTTTCTTAGCCATCAATGTCTTCAGACCAAAATCATATAGAAAACGTTTAGTGGTTAATGAAAATTAATATACAAAAAAAAAATTTGATCAATTTAGAGGATTAAATGGAGAACTTACAAAAGAATAGAATTAATTATCACCTGTACTTATCGTGAATTTGATAGCTAGCATGAAAAAATATACAGCTGCACTTATAGAGTCAGATGATGACTATACAATGTATTAATTTTAGTTAATTAGTTATGTATTTTTTAAATAAAAAAAATTTTTGAATTTACTTGTAGCTGGAGTCAGAGGCAGTCAGATACTTATAACCGCTACTATACACAAAAATTATATTAATTATTTAATGCTAAAATTATTATAAATTATAATACTATTAAATTTTAAGTCAGAACTCGATATAACGAACCTGTTAGTTAGGTGATTTTGATTCGTTATAATGAGGATTCAGAAAAACGAGTTTTGCTTGATATACAGTAGTGATCAAAAGTTTGCATCACCTGAACACAAATTTAAAATTGCAATTTTTTGACAATTAAAGTGACGCAGTGTACAAAACTTTATTTTTAGACTTATCATTATTATAATAAATCAATTTAGTAGTTATGTAGTGATGGAATAAAAATTTTTCAAAATAATATTTTCTGTCAATCATGTAATGCTTTTCTTTTGATCAAATTTTATAAAATATTTTATGTAAATAACAAAAAAATTTTTTTCATATCAATTATAATAAAACTTAAGTAAATAATTATTTATCATCTTGAATAATCATCATTAGCTCTAATTATATTATTTATATGGATTGGCATAGTTTTAACTAACTTTTACATACATCAGACCTTAATTCAACCCAAATCTTTTAAATTGCATCCAATAAATGATCCTGTATTCTAATAGGTGTTTCAAATAATCTTAGATGATAGTTTATTTCATTTTAAAGATGTTCTATTAGATTTAAGTCAGGGGACTGTGCTGGTCAATCAAGAACTTTAACCCTATTATCTTTAAACTATTACTTTATA